ATTCCTCTTCAAGTTGTCATTCCCGGCATAGTAGACCGTATGATTTTCTGATTCAAAATGGCCAATACCAGTCCATTTCAGCTCACTGATGCCTAGGATATTGATGTCTATGTGTTCCATTTCATTTTTGATGATTTCCAATTTTCCTAGATTCATACTTAGTACATTCCACCTTCCAATTATTAATGGATGTTTGCAGCTGTTTCTTCTCATTGTGAGTCTTGCCACATCAGCAAATGAAGGTCTCAAAAGCCTGACTCCATCCATGTCATTAAGGTGACTCTACTTTGAGGAGGCAGCTCTTCCCAGTTGTCTTTTGAGTGCCTTCCAACCTGGAGGGCTTATCTTCCAGCACAATATCAGACAATGTTTTACTGCTATTCATAAGGTTTTCACTGGCTAATTCTTTTCAGAAGTAGACTGCTGGGTCCTTCTTCCTTGTCTGTTTTAGTCTGGAAGCTCAGCGGAAACATGTCCGCCATGGATGACCCTGCTGGTATCTGAATTCCAGTGGCATAGCTTCTAGCATCACAGCAACATGCAAGCCCCAACAGTAAGACAAACTGACAGACACATAGGGAGAAAAAAAATGACTGTAAACATACATATTAATATCCTAATATCAGGAAGTTGGGAAGGATATGGGATTGAGGAACGGTGCAAAAGGAATTCCAATCACATTTGTTGTGTTTTATTTCATAGAAAGAAAAGATCTCAAACAAATATGGCAAAATTTTAACTTTGTTAGATTTAGTGTGTAGTAGATACAAGGGTTTTCTAGCTTATTCACTATTTTTGTGAATGTTTATAGGAAACATTTCATAACGTAAAAATAAATAATTTTAATCTATGGTAATTTTAATGAAAGAAACAAAGGTCTGAAGAAAAGATGGAAAGGAGGGAATCTACTTTATGAAGCCTGGTCAGGGAAGAGCTCTCCAAAGAAGAGATACTCAGGCTGAGATATGGAGAAAGAGAAAGAAAACTAAATGAAGAGATTTGGGCAGAAGGACAGGCGTGTGAACAGACACCGGTATCTGCGGGCCAGGAGATGGCACTAAATCTGCTGTTTGTACCCACCACTTGGCTTTAAGCTCTGTGAGAGTTCAAACACTAAATATTTTGTTCAGCATTGTATTCCAAGCACCAGGATAGCACTTAAAACACAGTAAGGAGCAACAAAACATTTCTTGGATAAAGTGGAAGACATGGTTTAAATGACTCAAACTTTAGAGTGCCCAGACAGTAACAAGGAAAGATGAGAGCAGAATCTGATCTGATCCATGCTGTGAAATAGGCAAAGGTGATCTTTGATAACCACTTTTTAACATCTCTTTCATCTTTCTGTCCCCTGACCACAGGCACCTCTTGTAAATTGTTTTCTCCCAGGGCCTTGTACTGAATCCACAGTCAAAAAATCCCCCTAAGGTTATATCTCACTCAATCCGAGAAATGAATCTGTACTGAATGAGTTACTGACACAGGGATATGTGTGCCATGACCTTCAAATACAGCTTCCTTTGACACCTGCTTATAAGGATTTTGAAGGCAACATTTTAAGGAGTTGGAGAAAGGTGGGTTGAAAGTCTCTCATCAGGAGCTTTGCTGTCCTAGTTAAAGAAAGTTCATTCTAACTAGAATATGAATCTTATCCTCCTGAAATGCCTCAGAGCCTGTCAGAACTTAGCCTTAGAGGCAATGAGGCAGTCACTGAGAGCAATGTCCTCTTAGGGAATCTGTGCCTAACTCTGAACTTTATTCAGAGGCCTTGGGGTGGAGCTTTTTTGCAAACAGGAGCCACATGAAGCCTGGTAAATACAGCTCAGGGACCAGGCTGAGGGCAGGGAGATTTGCCTAGTAAGGTCCCAGAGATTTTTCCCTCACTATGGAGAAAGACAGGCTCCCTCAGTCATGTCTCATGCTACTTCTCCTTGTCCTGTTTCTTGTTGTGTTAATCATCTAGCTCTGCTATAACAGAAATACCACAAGCGGATGGCTTTAACAAAGAGAAATTTGTTCTCACACAGTTTAGGAGGCTAGAAGTCCGAATTCAGGGTGCCAGCTCCAGGAGAAAGCTTTC